GACTTATATCACATTTTATAAAAGTTGTAATTTTTCCAAAATTTTAAACCTTTGTGGGGGAGGTACTTGGTGGAGTGGATCGATATTATCCATTCTCGCTCCTGACCTAGCATTGATGCATCTATTTGCATTCGCAAAGTTTGAACAAAATCGGATTATCCTTTCTCTTTCTGTGCAGTATTTATACCCTCAGCCATATGGCTACAGAGGGTATATATCATTTGATACGGTCAAAACGTGCCTAGTCGAAATAACGGTTTTAGACCCTAGGTCTCTTTGGACCAAATCCGTTTCAGAACATTTGGAGTCGATCTAGCGATGTCCGTCCGTCCGTCCGTCTGTCTGTCTGGCTGGCTGGTGCGCACGATAACTCTCGAAGGGAGTATCCGATTTGGTCCAAACTTGGTACATTGTAATATTTTTGTCAAACTTAGATCGAGTTCGAAGATGGGCAGTATCGGTCCACTCCTTCTGGTACCTCCCCCACAAAAGGTCGAAATTTGCAAAAAAATTATTCTTTGCACAGAAAGTGAAGGGAAAATCCGATTTTGCTCCAAACTTTGCAAATCCTAATATTTGCATCAGTGCTAGGTCAGGTGTGAATATGGATAATATCGGTCCACTCCATCAAGTACCTCCCCCACAAATGGTCAAAATTTTGAATAATTACAACTCTCATAAAATGTGATTTAAGAGTCCGATTGTCTTCAAATTTTACACATCCCAATATTTATATTAACCTAAGGTCTGGTGTTAAGATGAGCAATATCGGTCCACTCCTTCTGGTACCTCCCCCACAAAAGGTCGAAATTTGCAAAAAATATATTCTTTGCACAGAAAGAGAAGGGATAATCCAATTTTGCTCCAACTTTGCAAATCCTAATATTTGCATCAATTTTACGTTAGGTGTAAAAATGGAAAATATCGGTCCACTCCTTTTGGTACCTCCCCACAAAAGGTCGAAATTTGGAAATCATATATTTTTTGCACAGAAAGAGAAACGATGATCCGATTTTGGTCCTACTTTGCAAATCCTAACATTTGCATCAGTGCTAGGTCTGGTCCGAAAATGGGCAATATCGGTTCACTCCTTCTGGTACCTCCCCCACAAAAGGTCGAAATTTTGCAAAAAAAATTATTCTTTGCACAGAAAGTGAAGGGAAAATCCGATTTTGCTCCAAACTTTGCAAATCCTAATATTTGCATCAGTGCTAGGTCAGGTGTGAAAATGGATAATATCGGTCCACTCCATCAAGTACCTCCCCCACAAATTGTCAAAATTTTGAATAATTACAACTCTCATAAAATGTGATTTAAGAGTTCGATTGTCTTCAAATTTCACCCATCCTAATCATTTTATTAGTCAAGGTCTGGTGTTAAGATGGAGTATATCGGTCCACTTCTTCTGGTACCTCCCTCACATGTCGAAATTTTAAAAATATATATTTTCTGCACAGAAAGGAAAGAAGCAATAATCTAATTTTGAAAAACATAACACTCAAAGAAAGCGAAATAAGGATCCAACTCTCTTCAAATTTCACACATACAATAATTTTTGCTAACACCAGATCTGTTGTGAAGATGCTGTATATCTTCGAACACCTTCTGGCACCTCACCCACAAAGGGACATAATTTTTAATATTTTCATCTATCATAAATTGCAAAGCAACTCAGCGATTCTTTACAATTGCTATATCCATCTACTATAATTTATTTTTTTATATATAATTAATTTTATATATTATAATATTTATATCATATTTATTTAGGTGGGATACGAAATGGACAATATTGAACGATTCTTTCAAAACCCACTCCATAGAGGGTGAATAGGGCTGAGGGTATACATCTGTCGGCAAAACCGACCGATCCTTTTTTACTTGTTTTTTTTTTTTAATTCCGATCTTTTGTGGGGCGGTACCGATATTGCTCATCTCCTAACTCAATCTAAGTTTGACAATAATATTACAATATACCAAGTTTGAATCAAATCGGATACTCCATTCGAGAGTTATCGTGCGCACCACCCAAACAGACAGACGGATGGAAAGAAATCACTAAATCGACTCCAAATGTCCGGATTTGGTCCAAAGAGACCTAGGATCTAAAACCGTTATTTCGATGGGGCTTGTTTTGGCCATATCAAATGATATATCCCCTTTCTAGCCATATGGCTAAGGGTATAAAAATTCCAATTTAATCCAATACATTTTCGAAGTATTCAAGCAAAATAGATATTTATTGACAGGTTCATTTTTGCCAATTTTATAATAACAACAAGATAGCGAACTTATTTTCCGAATGAAAATTTTTTACGTTTCATTCCCTGAAAGTAAAAGAAAAAAGGAAACAAAAAACAAAAAAATTAATCTCCAAAGGTACGACCTGAAATAAATACCTCCTACCGTTACAGGTTGAGCTTTAGTTAGGTCTACATCTTTCATGCTCATTGGTTTGTGGGAACAACCACGTCGACAGTTTCGCGGTGCACCGGCTCTGTCTCCATCGCACCCGATAATGGCCAGCAAGAATACAAACAATAAAAGGATGAAAAATCGAATACTCATTTTGTGAAAAAGTTAACTTCGTTCTGATCTTTGCAATTATAAACTGAATGTTTTTAAACAAAGAATAAATTTCTGCTGTCTACAGATGACGACATTTATAGCTAAGAGGTAAGATTAGGAAAAAAGTCGGACAATGGCGACTGCATGAAGCCCTACACCACTCTGTCCATCCGACAGAGTTTTATATATAACATATACAAGGTGAGCTAAAAAGAACTGCAACAAAGTCAAACGCCATAATTTTAAAATTTTTTTTATTAATTTTATTGAATAAAAGCAAAAAATGTCGGAAAAGCATCAAATTTTAGAATAAGTTTAGATTTGTTCGAATTGGTCACATTTGACACGAATTATGGCCTTCAAACGGCCAATGAAACCGTCACACGCTGCCCGAATGTTGCTCTGCGTTATTTTGGCCCATACCCGGCGAAGCACTTGCTTGAGGTGATCGGCACTTTGGTATTTTTTAGTGCTAACCTTGCTTTCCAAAATACTCCAGACACAATAGTTCAACGGATTGGTATTCGAAGATTTTGGTGGCCTATGCTAGGGCTGGAAATTAAGCGAGGAACCTCATTTTGTAATCATTCTTGGGTGGCGCGTGCTGATTGCGGTGGTACTGAGTCCTATTGGAATGTCCAAGATCTGCGGCCAAATTGTTTGCGTGCCCAAGGCTTTAATACAGCATCCAGAATATTTTCGATGCCGCGGTCGATTAATACGAGCGGAGAGCGACCATCGCCTGTTGTGGCGGCCCACACCATCACCATGGCCGACGCTTGAGTTCTGGTGGCCAACCGAAGGTGTACATTTTTAGCTGACCTCTTTGGAAAGTAAACACGATTATTTTGTTTGTTTGAAAACTGCTGGACAACGGATGTTTTCTCATCGGAGAAAACCAAATTCGCTCCAAAACCAAACTCCTTAGCTCTGAGCATATTTTCTTTCTGTTGCGATGTAAGCTCTTGCACTTTTTGGGATTTCAATGGCTTTACTCCGAGCTCACTTTTCAATTTCAGAATAAGTAACTATGGATTGATCTCGTCTCCTTCGTTATGTTACAAACATATGCACAAAGCAAAAAATACCCTGCGCCACAGAGCAGCGTGTGGTGGTAGAAGCACACTTTTTTATTTCTATGTGGTCAATATTATTTATAAAATATATGTTAAATATATTTTATATGACTATTTGACGGATACATCAATACTCTGACAAAGCGGCTGAGTCGTGAAATTTATCATGGTGGTCGCTTATGACTAAAGTTATCAAAAAGGTACAAAGATTGACTAACGAATGAGAGCCAGCACCCTGGCAAAAAAAAAGAAAAACAAGTTAAAAAAAGTATCAGTCGATATCGCCGACTGATGTATATATGTAGGGATGTGCGAAATTTTAAGAGAATTGGACGCTCAATTCGCATTTTATGATAGTTTTGATTATTTAAAATTGTTTGCCGTTGTGGGGAAGGTACCAAAGCGGGCAAGTTGTTTCCTTTGAAACCAGAAAAAAAACAGTAAAGAAAGTCTTAAAGTCGGGCGGGGCCCCATGCAAAATTTTTTGAGGATCGGACGACAATTGCGACCGAAAATCTACAGAAAATGTACAATTCAATATTGTAAGTCGAATTGAAAAAAATCGCATGCTACATTCTTTATTGTTATTTGTTTTGTTTTTGGTCCATTTCAACCGCTTAATATTTTGGGATCATCTCCAAAACCAATAGGCTTCTATTCTGACCCTAACCGCATCTCCACTTTAAATTCCTCCATTCGTGAGGATAGAGCCAAAATCGCGTAACTTGGTTACAAATTAACATGGACAGATGGACGGACGGACATACGGCGAGATAGGAAGATATCTGGGCAGTGCTCCATGACATAATTTGAAAAGCGATATATTCCAAAATTCGGACATAAGGGGGCTTCTAACATATTGTAGTGTTGTATCGGCCCAGCACGACTATAGCCTTTGCTTGTTTTTTTTTTGTTGTCATATGTTGTAGTGCCCAATAAAGTCTTCAGATACGAAATTTGAAACAATTCCGAATAACGGGAAGTACTGTTATATGGAGGCTGTACGATAACGTAGACCGTCATGACCCATTTACAAACCTAACATGCCTACTGCCAAATTACACACGTGAGTATATTTTTAGACTTCTATGTCAATTCGTTCGAAAGACAGACGGATAGACAGACGACTTATAACCGCATCTTCAGAATGCGAATACGCTGATCTAGAATGCATATAGTTTGTAGGGTCCGTCATGAGTATTTCGAGGAGTTACAAAGCTAATATACCCTCCATAGAATGGTCCAGGGTATAACTACATTTTTCTTAAAAAAAAGAAACAAAACAAATACGTCACTCATTTCCATAATATCTCCATTTTAATGAAATTTTATTTACGAACCTTTGTCGGACTTTAAAACTTATATTTATATCTAACATGTTTCGTTGCATTTATTCAATACGTTCACAAATACCATTATGATCGGCAATAAATCCTTCGGGGCACAAAAATTCGGATATCTCCTCGGTTGTTGTTGTTATTGCTAATTCACCTGCTGTTGTTGTGGAACTATTATCCCCATTGCCAGCTACTGTGGCATTGAGAGCAGTATGCGATGGCTTCTGCGGTTCATCCTCTGTCAATTTATCAATAAATGCTCCAAAACTATTTATAATACCAAGTTCCAGCAACTTGGCGGCTTCTTCCAAACGCTTGGCTTCCTGTTGCAATTCATCCATCCATGGCTTGGCCTTCTCCAGGGTACATTGGATTTTATGAAGAAATTTGTTCACTTCATTTTCGTTGGTCTCCGTCTCGACGGAGATGTGAATGTGTGAGATATTATGGGCGAATTTGTCACCAAAATCATTGGACTTTTTGATAAAACTGTCATTTTCACAGATTATTGCGGCACCTTGAATGCAATCGAAAACGTTTGACGAGATCAAAAACTGCAACACAATGTAATAGGAAAGAAATGCCATGGCTCTTAATTTATTTAATTTTTAAAATGTTGTAAATAATTTCTTTATGTTTTCTATAAGAGATGTTTAACGTCCGAACCCGTATGGTTGACTGTTATTCGACACCTACCTGATGTTGCAATAGCCTGCAGATGATGATGATGGACCATTTGTAATTTCCTGGCTTCTTGTCCAATGTGGTTGTCTTCTTTGGTGCTAAAGTATCGACGTTTTTGCTACATTTGTCATTCATAACGTCTGTCTATGGAAAAAAAAAACTTGTTCTGGTTCTTCCACTTTTTTGTTGCGTGTGCACATACATCACCTATGTACAAATGTGACCCAAATATCTGCTAAGAATGCATTCTTATAGACTTTATCCAGAACAAAAGTTTTTTTTATTATTGTGAGAAGGTATCCCAAATGTGCGTAGCATACATTTGGGAGCTACATGAACCGAATAACTATTATTATTTGACTAATCGATTAATTCAATTAATCAAAGGAAAATTTTCTCATCCGATAGCTAGATGTACCGCAGCTTCCCATCGACGTTTTTTTTATACCCTGAGCCAAATAGCTTGAGAGGGTATATATCACTTAAAATGGCCAAAACGTGCCTCACCGAAATAACAGTTTTATAACCTAGGTCCCTGTAGACAAAATTCGTTTCAGGACATTTGGAGTTGATCTAGACGTGTGCTTCTGTCTGTCTGGCTGGTGCTAATCCTGTAGCATCCGATTTGATTCAAACTTGGTACCTCTTAATATTATTTTCAAACTTAAATCAAGTTAGCAGAAGGGCAATACAGGATGAGATGAAAAAATTGCAACCAACTTCAGACTGCTGTCATTTCAAAGCCACTCGTCCGACAGCTGTTAAAAAGATTCCAGTGACTGGTCATTATATTGTTTACAAGTGTACAAAAGCATTTTGATTAGAATTTTCCAGAAAAAAATTATTCGTGATGGAATTCAAGCGTGATAGTGTGATTTCTTTATATTTGGCTGGAAACCCACAAGTGGCTATCGTTAGAGCAATTAACATTTAAATGTGAATAAATCTTTTGTGTCTCGTACCATCGCTCTTTACCGTGATACTGGCAGCGTAGCCCGACGTGCAGGAAGTGGACGGAAGAAAACAGCAACATCAGCAGAAATGGTTTGAAAAGTAAAGAAGTGACTTGATCGAAACCAGCGTCGCAGTGGCCGAAAAAATGGCTCGTGAGCTGAACATATCGTAATATTCCATTTCGCAAATATTGAAAAATGAGCTCGGGGTTAAACCATTGAAATTCCAAAATGTGCAAGAACTTACATTGCAACAGAAAGAAAATAGACTTAAAGGAGCTAAAGAGTTGCTTCATTTGGCCGAAAGTGGTGAACTGTCGAATTTGGTTTTCTCCGCTCCGATGAGAAAACATTCGTTGTCCTCGATGTGCACCTTCGGTTGGCCACCAGAAGCGCCGGCCATGGTGATGGTTTTGGCCACCAGAAGAGCCGATAGCCACTCTCGCTCATATTAATCGACCGTGGCATCAGAATAAATGCCGAATACTATCGTGAAAATATTCTGGAGGGTTTATTAAAGCCTTGGACCGCAGACCTTGGACATTCTAACAGGACTCAGCACCATTGCACTCAGCACTGGCACCATTGCACTCAGCACCACCCAAGAATGGTTACAAAATGAGGTTCCTCGCTTCATTTCCAGCGCACAATGGCCACCAAAATCTCCGGATACCAATCCGTTGGACTATTGTGTTTGGAGTATTTTGGAAAGCAAGGTTGGCACTAAAAAATACCAAAGTGTCGATCACCTCAAGCAAGCACTTCGCCGGGAATGGGCAGCGTGTGACGGTTTCAAGGCCAATTCGAACAAATCTAAACTTATTCTAAAGTTTCCGACATTTATTGCTTTCATTCAATAAAATTTAAATAAAATAAAGATTATGGCGTTTGACTTTGTTGCAGTTTTTTATCTCACCCTGTATGTACTAAGAACTGTAGTGAATCGAACTAAATTTGGTACAATTCTGTTTAGCGTGGACGAAAGATGCTGGTAATTTAAATATGTTGGTATTGGGGTCCCTGTTGGTGGTAGGTTTAGGGTGATAAAGAAGGGGATTTGAAAATGTCTACTAGAAGTGCACAAGAAGTACTAAATCGTACTACATGTGGTATATTTCGGTATTGGGTGAACAAATTGATTGCTTGAAATCTGAAATTTGGTATTAGGTTCGTTTTTCATGTGTAGCCTAGACTTGTGGAGATGGTTTCTGAAATGTGTACTATAATTGTACGAGAGGTACTGAATGGTACTTAATTTTGGTTTTGGGTGAAGGGATTGGGGTAGAATTCTAAAGTTTGATATCTCTTATATTTATGGTATCTGTGGTTGAGATTAGGCTGTGGTTTGGAAATGCCACCTAAGTTTGTACGAAAAGTACTAAATGGTGCTGTATTTGTCATTGGGTGAAAGAATAGAGCTGAGATATGATAGCGATGTCACTGTATCTGAGTTTGAGATTTTGAAATGGGTTTAAAAATGTATACTATAGTTACTAAATTGAACTAAATGTGGAATTAAGTGAAGGAATAAGGCTGAAACCGTAAAATATTATATTGCGATGTCTGTTGGTATCTAGGCTTGATATATGGAACGATTTTCCAAATGAGTTCTAAAATTCTACGAAAAGTACTAAATATTACTGAACTTGGTATGGAGTGAATGTATGGAACAGGAATCCCTAAATTTCATATTGAAGTCGAAAAGTACTAAATGGTTCTAATTTCGGGTCACTGTTGTTGTCTAGGAAAGTAAAGTACGCGATATTGACTTCATCTGCAGAATTTGAGACAATTCTATTGAAAAATATGGCTACAATCACTGAAATGCCTTATATCTGCGGGTACAGTTACATTGGCGGTATAGGCAATAGTAGAGCTATTTACACAATTCTTGGTCAGATTGATAAGTGCATAATAAGAACTTAACACATCAGATTCCAGACAAATCTATTGAAAAATGTGGCTAAAATTATCAAAATACCGAACATCGGGGGTACCGTTAAAGGGGGCTGATATGGCCCATCTTCGAACTTGGCCTACCTGCAGGCCAAAGACTAATCTGTGCAAGATTGTAGCATTCTATCTTAATTCGTTTCGACTTTAGCGAGATTACAACAGAATCGCTAGATCGTTTTAGAATTTTACTCGGATCAAGAATATACAAACTTTATAGGGTTCATAATCATTATTTCGATGTGTTACAAACGGCATGACAAACGTAATATACGCCCCCCCCCCCCCCCCCCTACTCTGTCTGTGGAGGGTATACAAATTCTATTGAATGGAAGGAGCGGTGAATAAAAAATCAGTCTATTGGTAGAAAACCAAACTAAACGACCAATTTCCCAAAATCTCCCAAAATGGCAACACTGTCCTCTATTTATTTCACTGCTTTTTCAACAGAGTTTTGAGAGACTACGAGAGAGAGAGAGGGCAACTCAACAACAAATCACAGCTTTTGGCTTTTCTTTTTTTAACAACAACAGAGGTGCGTTTGGCCAAACAGATCAGAATAGCGAACAACAAAGTTTAGTTATTCAAAGCTCTTTAGTGGAGAAACATCAATTTTTATTAATTTTTATTTATCGTGTAAAGTACCATTACTCTTCATCATGAAATCCTTGATTGTTTGGACATTTTTGGCTTTGATTTTGTTGTCCGCCACCAAAGCCGAAGATGAGAAAAAAGATTGTGGTGATCCGGAAAAAGATGGACAAGTTACGGCTTGGTTTAAAAATGCCGGCTGCACCCTGAAACCCTATGCCGACACAGTGGCCACCAAGGCCAAGGAATTCGGCAGTACCGTGGCCCAGAAATACGATGAGGTGAAACACAAACTCACCGACAGTGATGAGAAACATGGTGACGAGGCCGCATCTGCTCCCGCCGCTGCCGTTGTAACAAGTACCGAAAAGGTGCCATTGGCCCCCATACCTGGCCACGATGATGCCTCGAAATCCAGCACAGGTGAGCATAATCAAACACCACCCGTACCCGAGGGTTTTGACGATCGTTTCCTTTTGCAGTATCAGGGGCGTGATTGTCCTGGTGGCCAAGTGATGGATTACAGAAATCGGTGCCGTAACAAGGTGTAATTTGTTATTTTGTTAGTTTAGTTTTTTATTATTTTTTCAATTCTCTTCTTTTGTGTATTTGGTATAAATAAAATGAAGAAAAAAAAAAAACAAGAATTATTGTGTATAAGTGTGTGTGTGTGTTGCGTGCTCCAAATCAGGGATATCAATAAAGGTTAAGTATAACGAAGAAATTTATACGAGAAGAGATGACAATGACAATTAGTTGGCAAATAATGTTGTTTACCCTCATTGGCATTTGTATGCATTGAGCATTGCACCTGCCATTGCCATCGGCATCTAGAATAACCGGTTTAGGAATATAAAACAGAACGCAAAAAAAACTTCCAGCGGCAATCAATTATTTATTACATAGGGAAGGAAGCGCCCATGCTATTAACAACTTAACAAAGCAATGCCTGTATCAGCCTTTGTTTTGCAAGATTCGTTACACGGTTGACTTTTAACGCAAACAACAATGGAATGCCTAAATGAAATCGCAACAGGCAATACCGCATAACAGTAAAATCTATAGGGAATTGAAGTGAGCTAAAAAAAATATTTTTTAGTAATTCAAACATGGGGAAGGACATAATAAGTTAGGAAATGTCAGTCGATTTGCAAATAGATAAATGTCCTCATGATGTGGTCCATTACATATCTATTTACGTGTAAGCACATAAAATATATATATGAAAAGCCAGGACATTCTCCCGATTTTTTACATGAAGTCCTTGAAAATTTTTGTTAAAGAATTTATTATTTTTCGACAAAATACTTTTTAAAAATCTCGAGGTATTGCCGAAGAGCTTTTACATATTTATAATAATCGAAGAATTCATTCTGGAAGACCTTTTAAAAAATGAGTTACGGAATCAGATCAGATTTGTATGTAGCT